AATCTAATTTACCACAGTGATTTTATCATTAGTTGTTCCACAAGTGGAAGGATAATATTTGTGATCTTGGACCACAAAACTAGTCATAAGGGTTAATTTTTCGAAATTGAGAGTTATACATCATCTGAAATCTGAATAAATAGGTTTTCCATTTATGTATGGTTTGTTAGGATAGGACAATGCTGTATTTAGCTGAGATACAACTATTTGAAAAACTGAAATCTGAGGGTGCAAAAAAAATCGAAATATTGAGAAAATAGTCTTTCAAGTTGTCCAAATGAAGTTCTTAGCAATGCATATTACTAATCAAAAACTAAGTTTTGATATATTTAAGGTAGGAAATTTACAAAATATCTTCATGGAACATGATCTTTACTTAATATCCTAATGATTTTTGGCATAAAAAAAACAATAATTTTGACCCATAGAATGTATTGTTGGCTATTGCTACAAATATACCTGTGCGACTTAAGAATGGTTTTGTGGTCCAGGGTCACATTTGAGGTACAAACCCCATTTATTGCATCTTGAAAAGAAATAGTCAGATATGTTGGCTGAAGAGGAAAATGCTATGAAATGTTTATACACAGTTTATAAATGTTGCTCAAAACATACTGCTATACCAAATATAGTTGAATATGCCTATGTTGCCCTATCACAGGTGCTTTGAGAGCTGTACTATATCAGCTCTATGTAGCTCTCCCAATGGACTTTTTTTAAAAGATTTTTTTTGTCATTTTCGCCTTTATGATGATATGGACAGATCAGAGCTGACAGGAGAAAGATAGGGTGGTGGGATCAGGAAAAGTCCTCGAGTTGGGGATTCAAACTCGGGACGCTCGTAGCGCAACAGCACTATATGTCAGCGCTCTGCCCACAAGGCTATCGGCGCCGACCTCCTGATGGACTTTTGCCCGTCAACACTTATATTTTCATGGATTTCAATAAAAGCAAACTTCTTTTATTATTTATTTTTCACAAATTGTGTGCCTCAACCAATTTTTGATAAAACAGAACATATATTCTCAAAGAGTCATACACTTTGGGATCAGAAAAAACAAAAGGGAGACATTCAAGGTATTTTATTACCCTACTGCTGTCATGCTGTATGGATGAATCCAATAAAAGAGCCTGTATAATATGATGTACATGTCTAGAGTTTGAATGAAATGAGATATCTGTTTGTAACCAGTGCTTGAAGTGGGCCGGTACGCAGTAAGAGGGTTATCATTTAGTCTTTAGCGTACTGGCACTTTTTCTTGCATACCGGCACTCCTGACATGTTGCCGGTGTTGTGCCCAATTCTGACCCCCGCCAGATTATTACCGCCCTAGTATTGGTAGGTTTAGGTTTAGGTGTGGGGGGCGGGGTTAGGATTAGGCAATCAGGTAGCGATTTCAACGAGGTGGGTAATAATTTGCCAGGGGGTCGAAAATGGGCACAACACCGGTACTGAGTCAAAGCGTCAGTGTCTGGGTGATTAGAAATGACACTATAAAGCACACTACCTACCCAGGAGGTCATTTGAAACTGGTAAACTTCTGGAAAGTTCAAGATTCCAGTAAGGGAATTCATTAGTTATAAGTAATAAGTTCAAAACAGCGCTAATGCAAAGAAAACACAGACGATTTCATCAGAGATGGCGGAGAGAATAGTGACTCGCATCCAGATGGCAGTAAATTATTATTTTCAGCGTGTATTTGCCTTAAAAGCACAATTGTTCTATACTGAATGGCTGCTGAAGGTGTTTTAGATTATGCACTGGACAGTGGTTTAGTTATTCTGAATGGATTCATATAGTAGCATGTACAGTCAGGTTAAGGCAGCAGGTTTAGTGGTCTTTTGGCACCTCCCTGTGGTCCTGTTTGGTATCGCAGCTTAACTGTGCTTATTTATATAAAAAATGCTCTAGACAATTTTCTTTCTTTCTTTCGGCATTATAGACATGCATTGGGAATTATGAAAAGTAATTAATTAATTTTAAAAAATTGTGTGGGTTCAGTCTATAGTGCTAATAGGCCTCCACTTCTTTGTGAAAGGCTGCTGCAAATATCTACAAACACTCAGTGGAAGGTGAAAGGACATGATGGTCATGATCACCCCTCTGTCGATGTATATTTTTAGATGCATTCATGTGCGATGACCTTTTACCTTATTCTAAACGTAATTGGTCTGACCCTGTTAACATAAAGTCCAATCTCCATCATCATTGCAAAAAAGCAACATGATATGGAAATAACATGTCTGCGTGTACAACGATCCCTGCATTCATTACTTGTCAAAGAGCTCAGCTGTGGCTATTACATACTTTAACGGTAAAGCGATAACCCCAGACGTAACCTCATATGCTTCTCAGCGAACACAAAGAACAAATTAAAAACCTTTTCTTTTTTCCTTCCACTGTCATCATCAAAATTTCAATTATAAAAAACCTCATCCTCTGACATGGAGATGCTGTCTGGGTGTCGCACGGACCCTTCCATCGGTGAGATCCTCTGCTCCTGCGGTGGATGTTGTGTGTCCAGCGGAGAATGAGAATGACTGGGGGAATGAGAATGAGGAGGATGAGAAGGTGCCAGAGAGCTGGTGTCATCAGCTTCCATGTGCATTCTGTACAGGTGCCGAGGAACACCCAGACTCCCTCCATCCAACAGGAACTGAGAAAGATAGAGGCCCTCGGGGTCTGTAAAGACATCGTCATCATTGTGAGAGCAGAAATGAAAAAGACCTCAAGCACACACATCTCCTAGAATGAAAATTATAGCATAAATGAATAAGCCCATTAAATCCCAACAATTATTTTTAAAAATTTGTTGGGGGGGGGGGGGTACCGGCACTTCTTTTTTTCCACTTCAAGCACTGTTTGTAACCTCATGCAGCTTGTTAGCTTTATGAGTCTCACTCTGGGAGAAAGAACAGAACAAAGGCTTCAGAATAAATTCTGTTCTTTTCTCTGTTTTTCGTTCATTATTCCTTGTGCTTTTTTCTTAGAAAAGGTTTTATAAGTATTCATTTAAATTCAGTGTATTGTTCCTTAATATATTTTGTTGAAATTGAATTCCAGTTACAAACACAATCGCCCCAGAGCCTCTATCAATACAATTAAATCCTACTTCAAACCCTCCCCTGGAGCACCAAAGCAGTCACACACATTATCTGACACCACACGAGGATCACACTGTGTAAACTTCTTTTAAAAGACCCTGGAGCATGATAACACTTGACCATTCCACCTCCCAACAGCCTCCTCTCTCGCCTTTCCTGCTTCTGCATTTACTATAATCCCCTCTGTCGCTGATTCCCCTCTTCTACCTCATCCCTCACTATCTCTCTCTTTCCATCACCTTTCTTTCTCAGTGGAGTGTGAATAGGGCACACGATTGTTATTCTAGCTCTCGCTCTTTTGTCTCAGACGCGCACAAGAACACACAAGAATTTTCTTGTTAGCAAGCGATTTCTGTCGCAATAGATCTTTTAAAGATTAAATCATAATTTTTCACATACAAAGGATTGCACAAAATGGTTGACACAATCATTAACACAATATGGAGGCAAGTTACTCAAAGTTATCTGTGGTAATACTTTTTTAAGTTCTACATATACATGGGCTTATAAATCTCTGGCAATTGTGACCATACCCCCTTTTAAAAAAACAAAAAAAGAACAAAGCTGAAGTGTGTATTTTTTATTTTGACGTGTGTAATATTACAAAAAACATATATTGATGCTAATAATATTAACATTAATATTAATAAATAAATAAATTGCTGCAAGTAAGCCATTTATAGTTTGATTTAATTTCCACTGTAGTATTATTATTATTCATATTATTTAATATTAATCATGATTTACAATTTTTTCAAAAAGTAAGCCATTTGTAGGTTGAGTTAATATTAAGATCAAATTAATCAATTAATTGCTACAAGTAAGTCTATATTTCTCATATTATTCTCTAATATTATTCATCTTAATTAATATTTTGAATATTTTTTGCTATAAGTAAGCCATTTTTACATCAATTTAATCTCATATTCCATCTTAATAACATGAATATTATCAATCTTAATTAATACAAATAATATAGATATTCACAAATATTAATTATGTTACATAATATTAATAATAAATAATCTTTTTTATACAACAAGTAAGCTATAGGTCAATTTCGCCAAAATATGTAAACACTGGTGCCCTGATGGACTGTGAGTATTCCGACTAGCCACACTGGCTCGACCAATGGCATGAGTTTGGGGCGGGGCTTTCTTTTTTCCAACCAATAGCAGATGGTGGGAATGTTTAGAAATTGTACTTGAAAACAGTCAATATTGTGCAGTTCTGTTTGGTGAGGCTATTAAAACTGCACACTTCAGCTTTGAGGATACATGTAGTCATTTGCTGTGTTAGACGTTTTATACTCAATCTCCATGGAAACATTTAGCAATATGAAAAATCGTTAAAATCTCCACCTCACTGCCCCAAGTAATAATTGCGGTTTTGCTCAAAGGCATAAGTCACTTTCACCCTCCAGAGTCCTCACAAAAGAATCCTATTCACCTCTGTAGTCCCATTGAGTCGTTCTTAGTGGAAACGCACCAGGCAAATGTCTGTGGAGATGAAAGCGTGTTTTATTTTGGCTCTTTCTTCTTCAGTCTATAGTGCTAATAGGCCTCCACTTCTTTGTGAAAGGCTGCTGCAAATATCTACAAACACTCAGTGGAAGGTGAAAGGACATGATGGTCATGATCACCCCTCTGTCGATGTATATTTTTAGATGCATTCATGTGCGATGACCTTTTACCTTATTCTAAACGTAATTGGTCTGACCCTGTTAACATAAAGTCCAATCTCCATCATCATTGCAAAAAAGCAACATGATATGGAAATAACATGTCTGCGTGTACAACGATCCCTGCATTCATTACTTGTCAAAGAGCTCAGCTGTGGCTATTACATACTTTAACAGTAAAGCGATAACCCCAGACGTAACCTCATATGCTTCTCAGCGAACACAAAGAACAAATTAAAAACCTTTTCTTTTTTCCTTCCACTGTCATCATCAAAATTTCAATTATAAAAAACCTCATCCTCTGACATGGAGATGCTGTCTGCGTGTCGCACGGACCCTTCCATCGGCGAGATCCTCTGCTCCTGCGGTGGATGTTGTGTGTCCAGCGGAGAATGAGAATGACTGGGGGAATGAGAATGAGGAGGATGAGAAGGTGCCAGAGAGCTGGTGTCATCAGCTTCCATGTGCATTCTGTACAGGTGCCGAGGAACACCCAGACTCCCTCCATCCAACAGGAACTGAGAAAGATAGAGGCCCTCGGGGTCTATAAAGACATCGTCATCATTGTGAGAGCAGAAATGAAAAAGACCTCAAGCACACACATCTCCTAGAATGAAAATTATAGCATAAATGAATAAGCCCATTAAATCCCAACTCAATATAGAGCTCTGATCTGCTCGATCCATGAGTCATCGTGTCCCAGACACATTCAGACATTTCTGTTTTGCAGTCATTTATTAATGCGCCTGGCTGAAAGACTCATCAGTACCAGAGTAAAATGTTTTTTGCACCTGGCTAAACAGGCCAATTGTCATTATTCTGTGCTTACCACACAAGGGCTATCATCACCTTGTAATGAAATAACAGTATTTTTATACAAGCTGGGACAGAGTGAGATGAACCAGGTGGTCAGAACGTACTGTGCTACTTTTATTGAAGGGATGTGAATATAAATATAATATCAATGGGATAATATATAATAATATATGGTTAAATAAGTTGCGAGATCTTCAAAAAGATTATTTCCATTTACAGGTTTTGCTAGTGGACCCGAATAACCAGTATATTTTCACATGGACCAGCTAACATAGCTAAAATACTTAGGGCCCTATGATTTCAAAGATGCGTTAAACGCAGATGGAATCACGAAATCCAGTCATAAAAATGGAATTTACTGTATAGCGCAGAATGTCTTGGAATTTGCCAAATTTTGGAAGAATAATTCAGTAGGTCAGTACATTTAAATCAAAATGTGATATGGACTAGTGTCTGTGAATATTAAGCTGCAAAAATACCATTTAAATATGAACCCTGCATGTTCTGCATGTCTCTGTGTGAATCAATGTCACAGGTGCGCGTTTTCTTTTACTTCACACACTGAAGTGTGCATGACGCTTGCAGTGTTTTCAGCTTCTGCCGCCTCAACATATGAGTGAACATGAACATGATCTCTAGAACTGCTCTGACAGTCACTTTATGTGAATTTCATATCGTCATATCATATAAACAGAGAAACTTAAAGATCTTCATAGCAACGCATAATAAAAGTTTGGTTTAACTTGAAGAAACTGTGACAGAAATAAATTACTTAATGTAATGATACTAGTTCTAATAATACAATTATTTAAACATTATTTTAAAGGAACATTTACCAGAAAAATTAGTTACCAGAATTTATTTACCAGAGTCTAGAAAAATTACAATAGAAAAAATAAAACGGTAAAAAGACAGAATTTGGGGGGGGGGGAATAAAACAGATTTCATAGGGCCCTTAATACTGCTGACCAGCGAAGCTGATCTTTTCAACATAGTTAAAACACTCTTAAAAATGAGGGTTCTTTATTGGTATCTGTGGTTCCATAAAGAACCTTTAACATTCATTGAACCTTTCCATTGCAAAAGGTTATAAAGATTGAAAAAAAATTATAGGAGATAATAACAGTGGAATTAATACCTTGTACTGGAATTGTACTGCCTATAGCTTTATTTTCAACATCCTGGGATGACCAGGCATTCATCGCTGCCTCAGCCAGAGCAAACTGCTCCGCCACACCTGTGAGAGGAAGAAAGAGATCACATATACATAATAGCGGACCAGAAAAAAACAACATAATTATCCATAATAAATATGCACTTACATCAACTGTTTTTTATCACTCATGTCCTATGAAGGAACTTTTAACATTTAAATGAATATTCATGACAATTACCAAGACCAAAATTGGTATTTGTCTGTTCACTGAAAATGAAAATTTGCTGAACATTTACTCACCCTCGGGCCATCTCAGATGTAGTTGAGTTTGTTTCTTCATCATAACAGATTTGGAGAAATTTAGCATTACATCACCTGCTCACCAATGGATCCTCTGCAGTGAATGGGTGCCGTCAGAATGAGAGTCCAAACAGCTGATAAAAGCACCACAATAATCCACAAGTAATCAACAGGATAACAGTCAATCAGTTCATGTCTTGTGAAGTGAAAAGCTGCATGTTTTCTGCATATTTCTCTCCCAATTTAAGCAAGACAACTTTTTCCATTTGAAAAAGTAATATTATGAATAGAGGACTTGTATTTTAGCTGGAAGCAACAGTTTAAAGTTAAAAACATCTTAAGGATGAATTTGTTTATTCCAAAATGCAGCCTTTCACTTCAAAAGATGTTAATTGGTGGACTGGAGTTGTACTTGTGGATTATTGTGATGCTTTTATCAGCTGTTTGGACTCAAAAGGTTATAAAGATTGAAAAAAAATTATAGGAGATAATAACAGTGGAATTAATACCTTGTACTGGAATTGTACTGCCTATAGCTTTATTTTCAACATCCTGGGATGACCAGGCATTCATCGCTGCCTCAGCCAGAGCAAACTGCTCCGCCACACCTGTGAGAGGAAGAAAGAGATCACATATACATAATAGCGGACCAGAAATAAACAACATAATTATCCATAATAAATATGCACTTACATCAACAGTTTTTTATCACTCATGTCCTATGAAGGAACTTTTAACATTTAAATGAATATTCATGACAATTACCAAGACCAAAATTGGTATTTGTCTGTTCACTGAAAATTAAAATTTGCTGAACATTTACTCACCCTCAGGCCATCTCAGATGTAGTTGAGTTTGTTTCTTCATCATAACAGATTTGGAGAAATTTAGCAGTACATCACTTGCTCACCAATGGATCCTCTGCAGTGAATGGGTGCCGTCAGAATGAGAGTCCAAACAGCTGATAAAAGCACCACAATAATCCACAAGTAATCAACAGGACAACAGTCAATCAGTTCATGTCTTGTGAAGTGAAAAGCTGCATGTTTGCTGCATATTTCTCTCCCAATTTAAGCAAGACAACTTTTTCCATTTGAAAAAGTAATATTATGAATAGAGGACTTGTATTTTAGCTGGAAGCAACAGTTTAAAGTTAAAAACATCTTAAGGATGAATTTGTTTATTCCAAAATGCAGCCTTTCACTTCAAAAGATGTTAATTGGTGGACTGGAGTTGTACTTGTGGATTATTGTGATGCTTTTATCAGCTGTTTGGACTCTCATTCTGACGGCACCCATTCACTGCAGAGGATCCATCGGTTAGCAAGTGATGCTAATCTGTTCCAATGAAGAAACAAGCTCATCTACATCTCTGATGTCCTGAGGGTGATTACATTTTCAGCTAATTTTTACTTTAAGGTGAACTATTAATTAAAAAACAGAAATCCTTCAGAGTAAGATTTGAAATTTACACTTGTGAAGAAAATAGTAGCAGTTTTTGCAGTAACAAAGTCACACCGTCAATGCCAGGGCATTGCTATGTGGTTGTTAAAGTGTTTTTTAACATGTTGCTGTGTGGTTGCTAGGTGGTTGTTTACTGCCACAAGTTAAAAAAGACCACCCCAATGACACTGTCATATTGTAAGTGATGATATCTGATCTGATCCGGTATATCTACATTGGTTGCTATAGTACTGACATGAACATCAACACATCACAATGAGACATTCAAGAGGAGCTATTAGTGTGGAAAGAACGAATGGAAAAACCCTGCATTTGTTCATGTCCATCATGCTGAACTCATGAGGTACATTAAACAACATAATCGAGGTATTACTGCAATAATACTAATTATGCAGGGCTGAAGTTTTTAGATTAGTTTAAACTTGAGTAGTTAAATGTTAAATATATAAATGCTGTCTCACCCGCAGCAAATCGTGCTTCTTTGATTTCATCAGTGAGGTGAGAGTAGAGCTGCTCGTCCTCCTGCAGCGCGGCTCCCACACTTCCCCTTCCTCCACCATCTCTCGTCCAGCCACACCAGCCTCCTCCAGACGTCGCTTCCCCTCCCCAACTCTTCCACTCAATCAGGTGGGCGACTCGGCCCTGGGCCATCGCAGTGGGCTTAGTGATGTGGTCTTTAATAGTGGCCAGCAGTCCTGAGGAGATCGGAGGGATTAGCATGAGCGCAAATCAAATGAAATAAAAGAAATGAAAAGAAAAGAAGGAAGAAGGTGAAGAGGTGATGCTAAAAAGGGACAAAAGTGAGAACGGATAAATTGTCTGGGTAAAAAGAGACTTAGAGCTTATTCTCTCCAAAGTCATCGAAAACTGAACAGCCTTTTAGGATTAGTGTCTGAAAGCAGGGACCAGAAGGCACAAATAGCATGTTTTGAGAAATATTAGCTATGTGAAAGGAACAATTATGTAAGAGCCTAACATGAAAACTGTATCTTTCCTCTTCAAATGATCATTTTGGCCTGCAACACCTCAGAGGTCTTCACATTTACAATTGTGTCCATCAATTGAAATCATAAAGGAATGTCATATTTTTGACACCATTTGTAGAATTAATTTTCACTTTGTTTTATATATATATATATATATATATATATAAAGCTTAATAATGTTCAGTTTCTTGCACAGACTGATCGCTTTGCTTCCTAAGACCTTAATATATTGCTAGGAGCAACAGGTACTAATTTTATTTTGCTTGCATATGCTATTTTGACTATTAAAGTGTCGGTAGCCATAGACTTGTATTTATGAAACACCAAGGAGTCTTCTTTCTGTCTACTGAAGAGAACAAAGTCACCTACATCTTGGATGCCCTGATGGTAAGTAAATTAACAGCAAATAGTTCACCCAAAAATGAAAATAAGAACTACAAACAAACATTTGGTCTAAAACTGGATTGCCCTTACTGAGTGATATAGGGTTAATTTTCAATCCTTTTTTGTTAGCATGTGTTTATTTATTTATTTGTTTAAAGGGTTAGTTCTCCCAAAAATGAAAATTAGCCCATAAATTACTCACCCTTAAGTCATCCTAGGTGTATACGACTTTCTTCTTTCAGACGAATCCAGTCGGAGTTATATAAAAAAATAGTTTTTGAACTTTCAAGCTGTTTAATGCCACTCAGCGGGTGTTGCATTGCTTCAGTCCAAAAGAAGTTAAATAAAAAGCGCCCATCCATAAAAAAAGTGTCTCACACGACTCCGGGGGGTCAACAAAGGCCTCCTGTAGCGAATCGATGCGTTTTTGTAAGAAAAATATCCATATTCAAAACGTAATATTCACTTTAATGTAGCTTGCGCCAACAGTTGTACCCAGAAGCAGTTCCGGGGAATGACGTATGAGGTCAGCTTTGCGCATGTATTACTCTCTGTAATTAACTTTCTGAAAAGAGTGGGCCTGGAGAAATCGAGCAAAAAAAATAAAAACGTCAGGAAAGGAAACAGGTGGCTAAAGAGGCACTAGAGAAGGAAAGAGAGAGATTGTTCATAAATGAGAGATATGCAGGCAGAGGGAAATTACATTAGCAAGCTTCTGTAAAGGTCAACTGCTCTTCTGATTCAGACAAATGATTCCGAACGATAGCAAAAACCTAGCAAAACAACACACAGTGTGACAGTGCCTAACATGCACTCTTTGCTCCTCACCCAGCAGGGAAGATGTAGCCAATTCTCCAATGTCATACCCGCTGCTGCTCCTTTTATCTGACATGCTGCCATTGTAGGGCTGGTTTGGAAAAGCTTAAAAACCCATAACACATTATTACTCTCTGTAATTAACTTTCTGAAAAGAGTGGGCCTGGAGAAATCGAGCAAAAAAAAATTAAAACGTCAGGAAAGGAAACAGGTGGCTAAAGAGGCACTAGAGAAGGAGAGAGAGAGATTGTTCATAAATGAGAGATATGCAGGCAGAGGGAAATTACATTAGCAAGCTTCTGTAAAGGTCAACTGCTCTTCTGATTCAGACGAATGATTCCGAACGATAGCAAAAACCTAGCAAAACAACACACAGTGTGACAGTGCCTAACATGCACTCTTTGCTCCTCACCCAGCAGGGAAGATGTAGCCAATTCTCCAATGTCATACCCACTGCTGCTCCTTTTATCTGACATGCTGCCATTGTAGGGAAGTCATATTAATGTACAATATAGGTGCATCCCAGTTGGCGTACTTATGCACTATTCTGTGCCATTTTTTGTATAAATAGTGCGAGTAGTATGTTCACACTGAAAATTTCCAAAAAGAAAAAGTGCACTTTAAATACCCGAATGATGCAGTTAAGTGAAAAAATAAAATAAACGTAAAAAGTGTAGAATGCTGGACCCTTCATGCACTCAAGTGTTGCAGCTTTAAAGCAGAGGGAGAGGTGCTATCTGATGAATGACAAAATAACCTTACATAATTCATAGTGCACAAGTACATGGTGTATAAGTGCAGTGTATAGTGTGTTATTTGGGATGCAGCTATTGACTGATAAAATAAAAAATTATAAAAATTTAAAAAACACTGACAAATGTTAAACACTTAATACACAGCTACTCAGATACCTCAGAATTAAGTACTGATTGAAAATGGTTTTGTAATCGTACCTGTATAGTATTTTAAACCTTTCACTAAAAAATTGTCAATAACAATGTACAAAACAAATAGCCTAGCAACAAGACGATCACTGCAAAAATATAACAGTAAAATATATAGTGTAATGCATTATTTATCGGCTTTAAGATATCGGCCAAATTTTCTTATTGGGCCGATACCGATAACAGAAAAAATTAGCATTTATCGGCAGATACCAATATGGTGGCAGATATATCATGCATCACTAGTGTATTATTAATTTAATAATAAAAATTAAGTCTTCTAAGGTAATTTTCACTTTAGTTGATAATTTATAATCGCAAATTGTGAGGCGAGTACATGTGTGTGTAATCATTTTCTCTCTCAGACCCAACTTTCACACCATCTACATACTGAAATTACTACCTTTTATTGAGGTTACATTAGGGATGCACTGATATCAAAATTCTGGGCGATAGCATTAAGCTGAAAATTATTTTTGTGTTATGACTAATAACCGATAACTGGCTGATATTGAAATAAAATGATTTTGATAATAAAACAATATTTATAAAATTATATTGAAACTAAAACCTAAACCTTGAAAAAAAACTTTAAATGCTACAAGCAAATTTAGGCATCAAAATATTGTAATGTACAATATAAAAATGAATAATAATTTTGTGATTTGCTAAAGATTACATTTACCACTGTTAATAAATTATTAGTGTTTTTTAAAATCAATTTTAAGTGAGTATAAAAATAGGGGAAATTTGCATAATTAAATGTCTAATATCAGCCAGTACCCAACATGGTACTAATATACAGTTTAGACAGCATAACATTGGCAAACAACCTACATTTTAATTAACTACAAATTCTCATTTGAACATGTTGCTAAATTTGTGTAAACACAAAAAACATTTTGGTTTTTCTGGCATGTGAATCATTGGTGCTTACTGACAAACTTACTTGCATTGATGAAATTAGACAATAAACAAGTATAAATAAATCATCTACATGTAATAGACTGTATTTTAGACTGTATGTAACTGTATTGTAGATTCTTATCTTTTAGATCCAAATTTATACTGATCATAAAGTTAATTTAGTATATTTTGAAGGCTTTAATACATTTGATTTTAAAGTTATATTAATGTATTAATGTATCTAAAGATAACATTTAATAGTGTTATTAAATTATTAGTGGTTTAAAAATTTATTTTAAGTGGGTAAATTAGCATAATTAAATAAAAAATATCAACAGGCAATGATATGTTAAAAATGTCTAATATCGATATGCTATTGATATATTGTGGGTATATCAGTGTCATACCACTAGGTTAATATAGCTGAAAAGTAGAACTAGAAAAGACTGTAAATGAAGCGAGGGGGATAAAGATAGATTGATATACAAATAAAATGGAATACAAAGGTGTGTTTATGATTAGATCTGTTCAGGTGAGATTCTGCAAAGTAGCTGAAATTTCCAAAAAAGCAGAAAAGAATAAGGGGCTTCCATCACTACTTAATGATTGTAGCTTTCTACTGCCCTCCAGTGTCACAAAGGTAAAGTTGCATGCAGAAGCACACTCATTCCTCTATATGCAATTTACAGCAATGCATTAAAAATATTTATGTGATGTGATTTTGGGGGGTCAATGATTCACACTGTAGATCTTGAGCAGATGGAGGATATGGTCTTCCTCAAGGGCACACAAACGAAGAGTTCAGAGGAAGAACTGAGAATAATCTCAGCATGGATTTTCAAATTATTATGATGCTGCTGTCATGACTAAATAATAAAGTTTTTTCTATTTTACTCTTTGACATGTTCTCTTGTTTAATTCATGCAAGACAGACATCACAGTCAATAAATACAGAACTGGAATGTGTCTTTATGTGCGAGGATCATTTAGACAGCAAAAATTGGCAAACAACCTACATTTGAATTAATTACTGATTCTCATATGAACGTGTTGCTAAATCTTGGTAAACACAAAAAAACATTTTGGTTTGTATTGCATGTGAATCATTTACCTGAATTCACCCTAATTTATAAAATAATAATAATAATAATAATCTACATAGTTCAACTGTATTTTAGATACTATGCAGGTTTTTACTGATATCATAAATGTTTGTAAATGTAGTCTTTTTGAAAGCTTTATTTGTTTAACTAAACAGAGTGTGTGTTGGTCATTTCTGTGCACTGGTTCAGTTACAGTCTTAAAGGAAAATGTCCCGTGGCTTTTATTTTTACACTCTCACTTTATTTTTTCCATGTCTCAGAGCATGCAGTGACACTAGGCCTGTCACGATAACAACTTTTTGTTGTGCGATATATTGCCCCAGAAATAATTGCGATAAGCGATATTATTGTCATTTTAAAATTAGTCTTTTTAAAGACCATTTTATGCCACTGAATATATAATCATAATGTAACAGCATAATAATGCAATAAGGCCTACACACTTCCAAATGACAACAAACTTTTAATTTTTAAGAATATTATGTCATGGAAATTAAGTATCAAAATATTAGATATCTTTAAAAAAAACCTGAATAAATAGTAAATAAACATTTTTCTAACAAAAAGTGCAAAGTAGAAAAAAAGAGAAATGCACAAAGTACTTGTATAGAGATTTTTCCATCTACAGAATTTTTCCCGGACCTTCTTTTCTCTGTAAATTAAGGGTGCACACGTTTGCTGAAAAACACAATCACTACTTAGCAGCCAGATGTCCGTATGCACAAAGACACAGATCCCTAAACAAGATAATATCTGCAGATGAAACTTTTTTTGTAGAAGCATTTTTTTAATTTGAACTAGCACTTCATGACTACATGTTATGTACGAGAAGCTGCAAAAGACACAGGAGCAAGCGGAATGTACAAAACATGGTGACATTAATTTTTTATGTAAATTGAATGGCCGATATATTGCATCACCAAAAATGATTGAGGTCATGTACATATATTGCGTGATAAGTCGATATATTGATTATTGCGACAGGCTTAAGTGACACATGTCTGAACTTGTAGCATCAAAAAGAAATTCTTTTTACTCTCTTTGTCTCATGTCAACCTATAATCCAGAAAGCAAACATTGTTCAAATTGTTTTGACTGACACCACCCCAAGTTATGTTTATTGCACATTGGGAAAGCACGCTTCCTTTTTAACGGCACTGAAAGTAAGAAAGTAATACACTATAATAAAGTAAATATAGTAATAAAGGCCTCAAAGAAAGTAAAAATAGAATAAACAATGCAACTGTAACTTAATTTGCTAAACGTCTCTCGCTTACCTCAGCATAATTCTTTTGCTGATGTATGCTTCTTTGGTAGCTCAAAGCTAGAGGAAAACCATATTTTATCTTGAGGAAAGTCTGACACCTTGTGGTAATCAAATGCACATGCACTGCGCACATACGTTTATGAGGTTTTTCCACATAAAATAGTATTTGATTTAAGTGAATTTTGGTTCAAACATTTCTATGTGAAAATACTAAAGATTTACACTAATTGCACCGTGTCAAAAGGATTGTTTTTTCTGTCGCTCTCTGAGGTTGCACATGTGTCTCCGAGAGTGTGTGTTGGTCATTTCTGTGCACTGGTTCAGTTACAGTCTTAAAGGAAAATGTCCCGTGGCTTTTATTTTTACACTCTCACTTTATTTTTTCCATGTCTCAGAGCATGCAGTGACACTAGGCCTGTCACGATAACAACTTTTTGTTGTGCGATATATTGCCCCAGAAATAATTGCGATAAGCGATATTATTGTCATTTTAAAGACCATTTTATGCCACTGAATATATAATCATAATGTAACAGCATAATAATGCAATAAGGCCTACACACTTCCAAATGACAACAAACTTTTAATTTTTAAGAATATTATGTCATGGAAATTAAGTATCAAAATATTAGATATCTTTAAAAAAAACCTGAATAAATAGTAAATAAACATTTTTCTAACAAAAAGTGCAAAGTAGAAAAAAAGAGAAATGCACAAAGTACTTGTATAGAGATTTTTCCATCTACAGAATTTTTCCCGGACCTTCTTTTCTCTGTAAATTAAGGGTGCACACGATTGCTGAAAAACACAATCACTACTTAGCAGCCAGATGTCCGTATGCACAAAGACACAGATCCCTAAACAAGATAATATCTGCAGATGAAACTTTTTTTGTAGAAGCATTTTTTTAATTTGAACTAGCACTTCATGACTACATGTTATGTACGAGAAGCTGCAAAAGACACAGGAGCAAGCGGAATGTACAAAACATGGTGACATTAATTTTTTAAGTAAATTGAATGGCCGATATATTGCATCACCAAAAATGATTGAGGTCATGTACATATATTGCGTGATAAGTCGATATATTGATTATTGCGACAGGCTTAAGTGACACATGTCTGAACTTGTAGCTTCAAAAAGAAATTCTTTTCACTCTCTTTGTCTCATGTCAACCTATAATCCAGAAAGCAAACATTGTTCAAATTGTTTTGACTGACACCACCCCAAGTTATGTTTATTGCACATTGGGAAAG